TAGTCTTGGTTGAGGGCTCGCGCCCGCTGTCGTGAAGGGGGATGCGGGTGCTTTATACATTTTTGGTCTGTTTTCTGTTATCAATATACAAGTGTTCTTAGAAGGGAGGTCCATTATGTTATTGAAAAATCTCTGTATATATATATATATATATATATATATATAATATATATATATATATATATATATATTGTGGCGTTATGGATGGTGCAACCCCATAACACCACCGTCCTCTGTGAAGGAAACATTAAAAGTTCCTGGCTTGTAAAAGTGAGAAGTAGCAACGAGCGAGGAACTTGCACGGGTTATTCAGTGAAATGCAGGGACATTTTTTCGCAACGTGGCGTAGTCAGAGGCGCCGGTGCAGACGAGGAAAAGAAGAGGCCGAGGACTTGGGCGCACGAGGAAGAAGACGGAATCGAAAACGAAGAAGAACGGAAGAGGACGCAAGAAGGCAACGCAGACGGCAGAGGCGAATCCCGTCTTCTCTTACAACGCAGAGGTTGGGACGCGAGCGGCGTCAACCGCAAGCGACGCGCGCACGACCATCAAGGCCAAAGTGGGAAGTTCCACGAGGTAACAGTTAGGAACCGCAGAAAAATAGGTCAAGTTCACATCGGCGGGGAAAACTAGTATAGAAAAAGTGTAAGAATTTGAGGACACCACGGGGTGGCAACAAATTACAGTATTTTGTTGTATTGTATTTGTGTATTACAAATTACACTTCTTTTATTGTTGTAGAAGACGTTTTGATGCGCTATTGCCTGGCCTAAAACATTCTACTTAGGACCTTTATTATTTCGCGCTATTTTCAGACACAGTTAATTGTAAATTAGAGTAGTTGCACGTTGCACACAATTTTTTGTTCTTTCATGTAATATCTTGAGCGAGAGATTGTAATTGATTTTTGGTTTCACGTGCCCAAGTAATTAGAAATAGCACAATTTAGATATAATTAATTTTCCCCAAGGGTAATTCCCAGGTAAGTTTGGGTAATTATTTCAGATATCAATCTTCAAGTAAATTATGTGTTTCTTTCATATGAGGTGGTGTTTGTCAAGGTTTCTATCTGTGTTTTTGATTATCTTTGTAAAGTGGTGATTCTATATTCTTGGATTTCTCTGTCATTAACGTTATGCCACCTAAAATTATGGTAAATTATACGCTCGTTATGTGCAATCTGTGTGATTTTAATTGTGTCAGGTTTCAAACATTTCTGCGCACCCTGAAGATCCTTGCTCCGTAGTTTTTAAACTCGGCTTCACGAAGCAAATCTTGATACCCGCTTTACGGTTCATGCCTGCTAAGAATTTGAGGACACGGGTGGACAACAAATTACAGTATTATAGTAGAAAACGTTTTGTGATGGCGCTATTGCCTGCCTAAAACATGTCTACTTAGGGACCTTTATTATTTCGCTTATTTTCAGACACAGTTTAAATTGTAAATAGAGTAGTGCACTTGCGACACTTTTTGTTCTTTAATGTAATATTGTGTTCTTTACATGTAGTATTGTGAAGGTGGTAGTTGTGTGGGTGTAGGTGGTAATGTTAGAATATATATATTATATATACTATATTATAATATATATATTTTATAATTACAGTTGGCTTGAAACTGTAAGTTGCGGTGTCGTAAGGAGAACGTAGTTCTTTCAGGACATCTTGGTGTAAAAGCAGTTTTCGTTTCTTCCCCTTTCACCAGCGCCCTGCTGTGAATTTTTGCTTTCTGCTTGGAAAAACGTCCAGAAACAGTGATGCTAAAAGCAGCTTCCAACGCCAGTGCTATGGGATAACTCAAATGTATGGAACGTTTTGTTTTTTGGGGGTTTCCAAAGAACAGGACATTTTTACTTGATGGCAAATCCGTACTGGACCGTCCGTCAACTTCCCAGAAATTGAATAAAAAGTGTCGAACAAGGCCACAATAGTTCCTCTAAGACTACGACGGAGACCATTGCAGAGTAGTAAGGTATGAAAACGTCTTTGTAACCGTAAACAACGAGGTTTTCGTCAAATCTTCATTTATTGCGTGTTTGGGTAGTACAGAGATCAATTACACTCTTTTCATAATGCATTGTTTTCACGTACTGCTAACTTTTTTATAATAATATTTTTATTTTGCATTTGTTGGGTATAAACATTTGGGCAAAAATTACATAAAATTTTAATAACATGCGAGGAGTTAGGTCCATTGACCGAACTCGAATATTACATTCTTCAGATTAACAACAATTTTTTAGTCGATATGTCAGGTCCTAAAGTATGATATCGTTTAAGTCGTAATGATGGTGTCACTGTTGTCTAGTAAGTTAATCGCAAGAATATTTTGATGGTTAATGTAGTCGTGAAGTAATTTTGCGCTGGTCTTGTTAGATTTCTTCTTTTATTGTTTTTCATTTGTTAAGGCTCGGTGTCATTGTGGCTTTACGTGACGTACCAAGTACAATGTCTTCTGCACAGCGGTACGTTTAGGGTGATGCAGGCGATTGTTTACTCCTTTATCCTTTTAAGAAATATTTTAAGTATTTTTTTGTTTCAAATGTTGTCAGAGTTGCAGTTTAGTCGTTTTTTTAAATTCCTTTGTTAGCTGTTCTGGCGTTATTGTTATTGATTTGATTGAAATTTTTCAGTAATGTTTATTGTGGCTTTTCGTGACGTCCAAGTAACATGTCTTCTGCACAGCGGTACGTTTAGGTGAGGCAGGTGATTTGTAACTCCTTTTATCTTTTTAAGAAGATATTTTGTTCTTTGTTGTTTCAGAATGTTGTCAGAGTTGCAGCTTTAGTAGTTTTTTAAATTCTTTGTTAGGCTAGTCTGGCGTTATTGTTATTGATTGATTGAATTTTCAGTAATGTTTATTATGCTGGAATTATAACTATTCGATTATGTTATTTAGTAATTTTTGAATATTGACAAACGTGTTACATTTGGGGTAGTGTTTTGTTTGGTTTATTATTTATTATTATTATTAATTATTATTATTATTATTATTATTATTATTGTTGTTGTTTGTTGTTGTTCATCTTACACTTGTGTGTGTGTGTGTTTTGATTGGTTTTGCCTGGGTATGTGAGTTGATTTTCTTGGTTTTTTTCAAAATTTGGTATGGTTCGAAATAAATCAAAGATGGAGGAAAAACCACGAGTTTTGAGTGTAGGGGCGGGGTAGTGAGTTTGTGTTTACCTGAGGGTCGTAGTTTTTAGAGGTTGCCTTTTGGTTGGTGTTGAATTTGGCGGTGCAATTGAGGCACGGTTGGTGTTGAAGGTTGTTTTCCTCTGGGGGTGGGGAGGAGCGGGGATTGGTCTATTGCGATAGGCAGAGCGGCTATATCAGATTCTATTACTTTGAAGGAAGTTTCCTATTACGTGAAAGCGAAAATGCTAGGCTTGTCAGATTTTTTCAAGAACGCGTGTTGCAGTATTTTGATCTTAATTCAAACTGGTGCAAAAAGGAGTAAAGTGGTATTAGCTAGCTTTATAGTGTCAGATAATATGCTCTGTGTATAAAACCTTTGGTTTGGTTTATATAGGTAATTTCTCTGGTTATATCTGTCTTAGTTTTATGTTATTGTATATGATATATTTATGTGTTCTCTAAGAACTATAGAATTATTGGAAAAACAGAACGTTTATTCATGAATCTTATTGTATGTGTGTTTGTTAAAGCGCTAGTTAAGGGTTTGAACGTACAATCTTTCATGTATAGAATATATGACTTATAATAATAACTTCGAAACACAATAACAGGGTTCCTTACGGCATGTAAGATTGTTCATTTACATTATTAAGGAGTAGGGTCAAATCTTAAATCGATAGCCTTTTTACGATTTGCGTCTTTGTTTTATACCCGCGTAAGTTAGTTCTTCATGCCAGGCATCCTGTACCTTTGTCGTATATAACTCATTGTGTAAATAGATTAGCGCCACTGTCTTGTGGCGTGATTAGGCTTTCACTTTAGCTTCTATTAGAGCATCTAATTTAGTTGATTGCCATTCGAAATAGTCCGCTGGTTTCGGTAAATATTTCAGCCTATGGTTCATTGGCCACTTGTAAATGTACTAACATATTAATGTTAATTTATAGTAAACTATGCATGGTGCCTGGTGATGTCAGGTACTGATGAACCAAGTTGTGCTGCCACAAACAAGCGACAAAAGCTAAGCATATAATATAATTCTAGAAAATGTTCAACCTATAAGAACTTCTGGTCGGCATTATTTATTTGGGAGCAAAATACTTCGAGTATAATTACCCATGCCTTATTTAACCTGCTAATAGAATTGTTTTTTAATGTTGACATAGTGAGCTTATGGGAATCTCACGGTATGCAATGGAAAATTAGTTTTGAAAAATTAATATGAAATACCGTACATTTAATTGACAAAGACGTGAGAAGTTATTTTAA